ACTTTACACTCTTCCCTCTACACACCATACTTTATACGTTACACGTTACACTCCTCACTCCTTACTGCACACTTTACACTCCACACTCCATACTTTACACTCCACACTCACTCTACACTTTATACTCTACACTCTACGCTTTACACACTACACTTTACACTCTACACTTACACTCCACACTCTACACTTTAAACTTTACACTTGACACTCTACACTCCCACACCTTACACCCTTCACCCTGCGGGCTCCTTTGCTTCCCAACAGCTACCTAAAAGAGCCTCACTCCACATTGCCTGCCCACGCCCCAAAGAGCCCGCCCAAGCCACCCTCTTGTCCCTACAACCTTCCCCCCATCGTACACCCCGCCCCGTCCGTCCCCTTTGTTTTTTTCCTTCCATTCCCTCTCTTCTTCCATTACTCTTTCCAAGTTTTTCCATTGTTCTGTTATGCTTTGACTCCATTTTTGCATCCTTTTACCCCATTCCACTCACTCGAAATGCACGTCGGAGGATGGACCAGGGGGGAATCGAACCCCACCGTCACCCAATTGCCACCTGGTACATCAGCCTCAAAATCGACCACGCTGGCCACCCTAATTAGGTGGGGAAGTGCCTCAAAATCGTCCGTTTGGAGACGACCACCCCCCAGACCCCCTATTCTCACTTCGTTCGCAATGGGCCACTTCGCCATGCTTGACAGCTGGCTTTCGTAATATACTTTTCATCCAGAGATTCTTCACCCAGAAACTCTTCTTGCACAAACTTTTCACCCAGAGACGCTTCACCCAGAGACTCTTCACCCAGAAACTCTTCTTGCACATACTTTTCACCCATACACTTTTCACTCAGGGACTCTTCACCCAGAAACTCTTCTTGCACATACTTTTCCCAGAAACTCTTCTTGCACATACTTTTCACCCATATACTTTTCACCAAGAGACTCTTGACCCAGAAACTCTTCTTGCACAGACTTTTCCCCCACAGACTCTTCACCCAGAAACTCTTCACCCGGAAACTCTTCTTGCACATGCTTTTCACTCAGAGACTCTTCACCCAGAAACTCTTCTTGCACATACTTTTCACCCATATACTTTTCACCCAGAGACTCTTCACCCAGAAACTCTTCTTGCACATACTTTTCACCCAGAGACTCTTCACCCAGAAACTCTTCTTGCACATACTTTTCACCCATATACTTTTCACCCAGAGACTCTTCACCCAGAAACTCTTCTTGCACATACTTTTCACCAATACATACTTTTCACCCAGAGACTCTTCACCCAGAAACTCTTCTTGCACATACTTTTCACCCATATACTTTTCACCCAGAGAGACTCTTCTTGCACATACTTTTCACCCATATACTTTTCACCCAGGGACTCTTCACCCAGAAACTCTTCTTGCACATACTTTTCACCCTTTTCACCCAGAGACTCTTCACCCAGAAACTCTTCTTGCACATACTTTTCACCCATATACTTTTCACCCAGAGATTCTTCACCCAGAAACTCTTCTTGCACATACTTTTCACCCATATACCTTTCACCCAAACTTTTCTTGCACAGACTTTTAACCCAGAGACTCTTCACCCAGAAACTCTTCTTGCACATACTTTTCACCCAGAGACTCTTCACCCAGAAACTCTTCTTGCACATACTTTTCACTTATATACTTTTCACCCAGAGACTCTTCACCCAGAAACTCTTCTTGCACATACTTTTCACTTATATACTTTTCACCCAGAGACTCTTCACCCAGAAACTCTTCTTGCACATACGTTTCACCAATATACTTTTCACCCAGAGACTCTTCACCCAGAAACTCTTCTTGCACATACTTTTCACACAGAGACTCTTCACCCAGAAACTCTTCACCCGGAAACTCTTCTTGCACATGCTTTTCACCCAGAGACTCTTCACCCAGAAACTCTTCTTGCACATACTTTTCACCCAAAGACTCTTCACCCAGAAACTCTTCTTGCACATACTTTTCAACCAGAGACTCTTAACCCAGAAACTCTTCTTGCACAGGCTTTTCACCCAGAGACTCTTCACCCAGAAACTCTTCTTGCACATACTTTTCACCCATATACTTTTCACCCAGAGACTCTTCACCCAGAAACTCTTCTTGCACATACTTTTCACCCATATACTTTTCACCCAGAGACTCTTCTTGCACAGACTTTTTACTTTTCACCCAGAGACTCTTCACCCAGAAACTCTTCTTGCACATACTTTTCACCCATATACTTTTCACACAGGGATTCTGCACCCTGAAACCCACAAACTCTTCTTGCAGATACTTTTCACCCAGAGACTCTTCACCCACAGACTCTTCGCCCAGAAACTCTTCTTGCACAGACTTTTCCCCCACAGACTCTTCACCCAGAAACTCTTCACCCAGAAACTCTTCTTGCACATACTTTTCACCCATGTACTTTTCACCCACGGACGGATCAACCATATATTTCTCACCCACAGACTTTTACCCCATATACTTTTCACCCAGAGACTCTTCACCCAGAAACTCCTCTTGCACATACTTTTCACCCATATGCTTTTCACCCACAGACGGATCAACCACATACTTCTCACCCACAGGCTTTTCCCCCATATACTCTTCACCCATATACTTTTCACACAGAGACTCTTCACCCAGAAACTCTTCTTGCACAGACTTTTCACCCAGAGACTCTTCACCCAGAAACTCTTCTTGCACATACTTTTCACCCATATACTTTTCACCCACAGGCTCTTCACCCAGAAACTCTTCTTGCACATACTTTTCACCCATATACTTTTCACCCACAGGCTCTTCACCCAGAAACTCTTCTTGCACATACTTTTCACCCATATACTTTTCACCCAGCAAAGACCCTTCACCCAGAAACTCTTCTTGCACATACTTTTCACCCACCCAGGGACTCTTCACCCAGAAACTCTTCTTGCACATACTTTTCGCCCAGAGACTCTTCAAACAGAAACTCCTCACCCAGAAACTCTTCTTGCACATACTTTTCACCCATAATACTTTTCACCCAGAGATTCTTCACCCAGAAACTCTTCTTGCAGATACTTTTCACCCATATACCTTTCACCCAAACTTTTCTTGCACAGACTTTTAACCCAGAGACTCTTCACCCAGAAACTCTTCTTGCACATACTTTTCACCCAGAGACTCTTCACCCAGAAACTCTTCTTGCACATACTTTTCACTTATATACTTTTCACCCAGAGAAACTTCACCCAGAAACTCTTCTTGCACATACGTTTCACCCATATACTTACTTTTCACCCAGAGACTCTTCACCCAGAAACTCTTCTTGCACATACGTTTCACTTATATACTTTTCACCCAGAGACTCTTCACCCAGAAACTCTTCTTGCACATGCGTTTCACCAATATACTTTTCACCCAGAGACTCTTCACCCAGAAACTCTTCTTGCACATACTTTTCACCCAGAGACTCTTCACCCAGAAACTCTTCACCCGGAAACTCTTCTTGCACAGACTTTTCACCCATATACTTTTCACCCAGAAACTCTTCTTGCACATACTTTTCACCCAAAGGCTCTTCACCCAGAAACTCTTCTTGCACATACTTTTCGCCCAGAGACTCTTAACCCAGAAACTCTTCTTGCACAGACTTTTCACCCAGAGACTCTTCACCCAAAAACTCTTCTTGCACATACTTTTCACCCATATACTTTTCACCCAGAGACTCTTCACCCAGAAACTCTTCTTGCACATACTTTTCACCCATATACTTTTCACCCAGAGACTCTTGACCCAGAAACTCCTCTTGCACAAACTTTTCACCCAGAGACTCTTCGCCCAGAAACTCTTCTTGCACAGACTTTTCCCCCACAGACTCTTCACCCAGAAACTCTTCACCCAGAAACTCTTCTTGCACATGCTTTTCAGCCATATACTTTTCACCCACGGACGGATCAACCATATATTTCTCACCCACAGACTTTTACCCCATATACTTTTCACCCAGAGACTCTTCACCCAGAAACTCCTCTTGCACATACTTTTCACCCATATGCTTTTCACCCACAGACGGATCAACCACATACTTCTCACCCACAGGCTTTTCCCCCATATACTCTTCACCCATATACTTTTCACACAGAGACTCTTCACCCAGAAACTCTTCTTGCACAGACTTTTCACCCAGAGACTCTTCACCCAGAAACTCTTCTTGCACATACTTTTCACCCATATACTTTTCGCCCACAGACGGATCAACCATATACTTCTCACCCACAGACTTTTCCCCCATATACTTTTCACCCATATACTTTTCACCCAAAGACTCTTCACCCAGAAACTCTTCTTGCACAGACTTTTCACCCACAGAGTTTGCACCCTCAGACTTTTCACCCATACCTGTTTCACCCACATACTTTTGACCCATGGACCTAGAAAACAACCGGACCTAGGGGGAATCGATACCCACCGTCACTGTTTTGCCGCATGGTACATTACCCTGACAACCATACTTTTTTCACGCCTAAAACACCACCGATTTACGACGTTTTCGGCACCTTGAGGCAACTACCCCTCCCGACGCAAATAACAACTAGCCAGCTTCCCGGCTGGCTTTCGTAAAAAATGTATATACATATGTATTAAAACATATAAGCGTATATTATATACATTTAAATATAATGTATGAAAATTTTGCCTGCCTGCCTGCCTGCCTGCCGGTCTTTATGTATGTATGTATGTATGTATGTATGTATGTATGTATGTATGTATGTATGTATGTATGTATGTATGTATGTATGTATGTATGTATGTATTGCAAAGAACGTGGGCACGCAAATGCTGCCACTTTTGAACCACGCTCAAGGCCTCGGGTATCGAAACCTCGATGAAGTGCAAATGACATGCCCTTGCATGTCCATGCGGCAAAAGAAACTATGTTGTGACATGATTCCACCCAATGCCAGTTGCAATCTTCACATTCCTCAAAGTTTTGTTGGGTGGACATCAGTCATTTTCGGTTGGCCTTTCGAAGTTGATCAGGTTGATCATTCGTTGGAGCTCACGCACGGTTTCCAGGTCTCTTTCTTTTGTTGCTGCATCTATAGAGGCGGTCAAGTGGGCGACCAAATCCTCATCATCCATGTCGGGATTGCTCTCACGTATGGCATCCAGCATCATCAGTTCAGCTTCATGATCATCTTGAGGACGATCTTCAGAGAAAATTGAGACATCGGGACTGGAGGTTGGTGTCCCAGGCACATCTCGGCGAATCATTCTCCTTCTCAAAACTGAACGGCGCTCATCTGAGCCCATGCTAGAAGTTCCAACATCAGCTTCTAACAAAAGTCTTCTGACACCACGTTGAATTGCATAAACTCTTGAATTGGTTTCATCCAGCACACGAAAACTACGACCATGTGTTGCGGTTATCTCCTCATGGAGTCGTCGCTGATTGGTAGCTAAACCATTCATAGCAAAGTCCATGCCGTTTTGAAAATCATCCATGGCATCTTTCAGATAGACCCGGCATCCTTCCAGCTTATACTGCATTGCTCTTGATTGTTCTTTAACAAGTTCTCCATGAACCTTCAATTCTTCAGAAACTTGTTTAAGGATTGACCGATGCTCCTCACGAAGAGCTTGTGTCATCGCTGAAAACCTCTTGTCGATGTAGTTCTTGATGTAGTAACATCCAATGCATATTGGTATGATGTACATTGCAAAGTTCCAGCTACTCGAAGATTTTCCATCCAGAAATTCTCCACAAGCAAATGCAAAAACAGTACAAAACCATGTTGCAAAAGATACCAGCGACCACTGCTCAAACTTCTCCAAGACCCGCAAAGTCACGACCTTCAAGGTCCTTCGGTGGATCAAGTGGTAACTGCATAGGATTCCTGCAAAAAGCACTGCTGCAGTTACGGATGCTATCATTAACCAGTCTGTTGGGAATACGCGATGATATTCATCAGCACTTCCTTCAACACTTGTGAAACAACTTGCAAATGTGGTCACCAAAAGGGTGTTTGCACTCATGCCATTCCTTGCTTTGGCCCGTGCATAGTCACTGTTGACAGCTTGGCTTTCTTGTTGTGATGCTATTTTCCCTGCCTTCTCATCTCTGATTCTTTCACGCTTGATCACCACTCTCGGATCTGGCCCCAGCATCCATTGGTTGTCCTCCAGGACACGTTGGATATATGCTAAGCCCTTCTTTCCCAGAGTCTTTGTAAGGCAATCAGCTAGTTGCTGTTCCGTAGAAACCCAGTGAATCTCCATATTCTCAGTGAGGGACTGTCGAATGATTGCAGCTTCCAAACTCAATCGCTTGTCAGAGAGAAGCGTCCTTTCAGAATGCAAACAATCGTAAAGGCTTCGACAATCTGTCACACATACACCAGGAATTGTATGGAGCTTGTTGGCATACTCCTTGGAAACTTGTTGCAGATGCAACATCTCACACAACGTCCCACGCAGAAAATTCAATGAATCCAAAGCTTCAGAACATGAATATGCTTCTGCTGAGAGGGTGCTTCGCACTACCCGTTGTATTTTTCCAGAATGCCACTGTAGCATGTGCATGCGATGAAGTTTCGATTTGTCATGCAACATCTCCTTGTTTGCTAATGCAATCCAATGGCCCTTTTGCGACTTGTGGCCCTCGGTATTTGCAAAGCTTGCATCATGAATTGCTACCACTGCTATCTCATCTTTCTCAAAGTTGATTCCAGGACGAAAAACCATTTTGCGTCCACGATGTTCTTGCTGAATCATCCTTGAAAGTCTTGCAGCTTCAGCTAAATCACCAACTGTTGGACCTCTCAATTGGCTTGCGAGTTGGCTGACTGCAAACTGTAGGTCATACCCAGCAATACGAACATACCACTGCAGTTGTCCAAGCACTCCTCGAAATGCTCGAAGTTCCTCTGCAGTCAATGGACGGTCTCTTTGTTTCAGCTTGTCACGACCAACACGGTATGGAGTCATGTAGTTGACATAGTCGTCAACATCAATCTCCACAGTGAAATCTTTCAGCTGTTTGTAGCTTCGTCCACAGAATTTCACTCTTCCATCCAAACATGCTTGCCAGCTTCCCCATTCGACCGAAGACTTGAGGTCTGTCTCCAGCTTTCTGCATTCATCAGGAAACCGTTGAAAGTCCATAGCAAGCAAAACATCATCCACATGTAGTGCCATGAGTGCTAACACCTGTTGAGTGGTTTGATCTCGAAAAACAAAACCAGCATTCTCAAAGGTAAGTGGCTCCCATCCAAGCTTGATGAGAATGGCACGAAAGGATTGATACCATTGCCTCGCAGCATCATTGACGCCATAAATGCTCTTCTTGAGCTTCAGAAGTGAACCTGGTGCGATGTTTCCAATTGTTGCACTGCCCAAATTGGTTGGCAACTCAAAGTACAAATCGCGTTCAATCTTCAGCCCTTGCAAGAAAGCACCTCGGACATCAGCTGCTGTCAGCTTCATACCACGGCTAGCTGCAATGGAACAAATCAAATTCACCAGCAATTGAGAACATGTTGGACTGTCTCGTCGGAGACCTTCATCAAATTGTTCTTGAAAACCACGTCCAACAATTCGGCATTTCATTTCCAGCTTTCCATCCTCAGCTTCTTTTCGAGTCCAGACACACCGGGAACTGATCACTTTGTCCTTTTGAGTGCGCCGAATCTCTGATGCTTCGGCTGGGGAAATCACCTCAATTGCATCAAACTTGCTCCATGTGGAAAACTCCTTGTCCAAACCACGTTGCATGGCATCATCGATGACAGACTTTGAAAATTCCTTCAGCTGCTCATAAACTTTCTTGTGGTTGTACTCGACATGCTTGTTGCGCTTTTCATAGTGATCGCACAACCTGTCAGCCATGAAAGCAGCAAAAAGAGCATCTGTTTCATCATGATGTTTTGATTCACCAACATCACGCTCTTCCTCATGCCGTGCAAGTTTGGCAGGATCTTCACTTTCGGTTGCATAGCCCCTTTTCAGAGAATGAGGAACATCATCCAAGGCTTCCCGTCGACGTTCTGCAGGTTCAGGTTGTTCCTCAAAGTTTTGTTGGCTTTGAGGTTCTTCGGGAATTGATGTTTCATCCATCGCCTTCTCCTTGGCTCTCCTTCGCCGTTTCCTCCTCCGTGAAGATCTGGAAACACTTCGCAGCCTTCTCTCTTCAGGCTTTTCATCCAGGATCACCTCATCCTCCTGAAGTCCATGAGGGGGTGCCCGGTAGCCATCATCTCTGTTGAAAACTGCGATCATCTTTTCATAGGGCTGCTCGACAGGCCTTCCAGGATTTGGCTGTTCTTTCCAGGGAGCACGATCTTCCAAAACATACCATCCATCTTGAAGTTTGACCCGTGTAGTTCGAAGTTCAAACTCCGGAAAAGGATCAGGAAGAATGTAGTTCTCCGGATTGGTCACCAGTTCGGTGGGTCCGTGACCAGCTCGAATTTGCCATCCATCAGCCTTGCCCTCGATCATTTGAAGATCTTCAGGAAGTTGTTGTGGATCAAGTAGATCTTCGGCTTGATATTCAAACTCTTTCTCATCATAGGGCAAATCAGGCGGTTCGAAACTTTGGTCTGGTTGATCTGCAGGATGTGAAGACATTGGAAGTCCATCTCCAAAGCGGGACTGAGGCACAAAGTCCAAGCCATCAGCACGCTCGATGGGATTGTCCGGGATCTCTCGAGTCAAGTCCAAGACTCCACGTTGGCTGCCCGGCATCGGACCTTCAGATGGTCCATCATCACCATCTTCATCATCTGCAGGGGGTGCGCCAGGGTTGTCATACATCTCTGAGTCCACTGCCCTGCGCATGTTGTTGGGATGAGCAAGAATTGGCATCCCTCTGTGAATCAACCAATATCCATGAACATCTTTTCCTATGACCCTTGCAGGACCATGCCACGTGTGATGCATGGCATGTTTGGCCATCTTCCGCTTGTACATGACCATGCTGTGAAGTTCAAAGGGTCCAGGTTGACGCCGAACTTGGGATAGAAGAACTCGGCGTAGAGCACTGTTGTGGCTCGCTTTTGCAAAGCTTTCTTCACATAGCTGCTGCAAGTGCAATCTGCGCTCCATCAAAGTCATTTCGTTGCAAAGCAGGATGCAATCTTCCACCAGTGATGACTTCAGGCAAGGTGGTGTTGGTTCCCAAAACACATTGAGCAGGTGAAAAACCTTGGTTGTTGGCCAGTCGATTGATGGTGTGGGCACATTGGGTCATCACCACACGCATCAAAATTGGTCCTCTGGCCTCGAACTCAGGAACTACCTTGGCTATCATCTCTTTCAGCATCAAAACTCTTCGTTCCACCATGCCATGACTCCAGTGAGCATCTCTTGCAACCAAAATGTCCTCGATGCCAAAAGTATCCAGAGTTGCTTTGAAAATTCCTCTGAAACTGCTATCTTGGTCAATTTGGCACCGTTGAGGGATCCCCAGGAGTTCACACCAGTCCAGCAAGGCCCGACGAGTTTGCTCTGATGTCGGCTTGCAAGTATCACCTGGGTTCTCACCTGAGCACAAATAAGATGCCACAGTGAAGTGCGTAGCCATATCAACAACCACCAGAAAAGCATGAAGATGATCGTTGAGGCATGGAACGAAAGCAACATCCATTGCGATGCATTCACCAAACTTCTCATACTTTGGAACTGCAGCTACTGGTCTCGGCAGGTTTCTAGCTTCACGTTCACAAACTTCACATGAAAAGAGCTTTGCAGCCTTGACTGCCGTCTCAGATGCACCTCCCAGTCTCAGATGTCTCACAAGTTCGTCTCCTTGAAGACTGTGGGAGTACTGCTTATGCACCTTGATGATTGCAGACCTCAGCAATGAAGGCACGTCCGACCACACATTGAATTCGGACTCTTCCGCTTCGCGGAAGACAACTGCTGCACTTCGTCTTAGACGATCAGCATCATTCACAAAAACCTCGGTGGGGTGAAAGTTCTCCGGCATATCTTGCATGTCATAGACAGGGAAGCCACATGCTGCATCATATTGGAATTGAAGCAAAATGCCTCGTAGTATGGCTTCGCCCATCTCAGGTGTCCATTCTGCCAGGGACGCTGAAACTCCACGACCACGTCCTTGGACAGGGGCGTGTTCATGATCTCCCAGACACTTCAGCGACATCTCTGCTGCGATTGTTGGTGAGCTTGACACAAGGCGTGTCGGCTTGAGGATGAAGTTCTTGTTGTGATCTTTGAGACCAAATCGGCACTGGTGCATAGTGATGGTATGGTGTGGCATTTCCAAAAGCCACGGCATCAGCTTCCATGCTTGCGATGAAGCTGGATTCTCAATCAGAAAATGTCGACCACGTCTTGTCTGACTCTGGCAAACTCTTCTGAGAAACTTCAAGTGATTGAAAGCTTCAGACTGTTCCCACTGCTTGAGGTAGTCGTCCTTGAAATTGGAAAGTGGGGACCAAGGGTCACATGGAAAGGCTATGACCACAGTGTGGGGGTCCTCTTCCTCCAACTCCTGCATGATCTGATGCTGCTCACTTGAGTTCAGAAAGTTGTCACCGAGCACAAGGTCTCTCGGCCTACCAACTGCCACTCCAGCATTCTTGGCTGCTGCCGTCACTGCACCTCCACCACGTCCGCAGTAGAGCTCTTTCACCATGATTTGCTCTTTGGACTTTTGATCCCCTCTCAGAACCTTCCAAATTGCTTTCCCATGAGCCTTCGCCTCATCAGCCATCTTCTGCACTTTCTTTCTCTCCTTGGTTCTCAAAATTCTTTTCTCAGCTTGCGAGGTCTCGGCATTGATCACTGGGAAAACTTCGATGTGCTTGGTGTCAATGATGGTTTGTTTCCGTTTCACTGTCCGACCCCAATTGGCTATGTCAATCATCAGGTGGCCAGTTCTGGAATACTTCAATGGCACACTGTCTTGGCTGACATTGGAGAAAACCACTGAAGGACCATACTTGCCCTCTAAATTGAGGATTGCACCAAGAGCACGAAGTTGAGGAAGACCAAAAAGGATAGGGACCCGGCTATTGCTAAGTCGGTGCAATGCCACACGAGCTTCACGGCCCGCAAGTCCAACCTTGAGCTGCTGCACCTGTCTGGAAACTATAGGTGCTGCACTATTGACACCTCTGAATGTCCTCGTTTCATCAACTCGAACATCATCCACCTTAAAGGTGTGCAGGAATTGATCCAGAGCGTTGTCACCTGCACATCCAAGCAAAGCTGCCGTGTCGATCACTGCAAAGCCAGGTGGAATCATCTCATCATTGCTGCTGTGGTTTGCAAACACTTGCACACTTCCAGGAATATCAGTTGCGGTGAGCTGCATGTCATTCACCATGAAAATGTCGGCCGCAGACATGGCCGGAGCATCTTCAACTACCACTGATCCAGTCACTCCAGTGATGATCATCGCTGCCGCAACACCAGCTCTTTGAAGAAAACCACCTCGACGACCTTTGGATGTTTTCCTTTTCCTTTTGAACTTCCAGCCTTTGGACACTCCCGATCTCCTTGCCAATGTCCTTGCTGGCCGCAAGCATGGCATTTGGTTCTCGATTTCACCTGGGCTAAAGTGTCCTGAAGCTGTCCACTGTTCAAAGTCAGTTTGCCATCCAACGACACTGCAGTGCGGTTGTGGGCAATGGCATTGGGATTGAATCCTCGGTTCGTCTTGCCCTTCTGCACCATCTTACGCTTCTGGGCATAGTGGCTCGCAGACCTGGCCAAACGCTGGCTCTCAACTGCGAAAATCTCCAACTCCTCAGCTGACATGGAATCGACCACAAGCACTTCCAGAGATTGCTCGAACTCTTCGATGTCATCATAGATGCCCTCATCATCGGCTGTAGTGTCATCAGCCACCCATGCATCAGTGTGATGCTCATAGTATTCATCACCAGCATCATACTCCATGGATTCCTCATTGTAAGTTTCTTCCTCCACTGCATAAGCCCATCCTTTGGAAGAAGCTGCTGTACTTGGAGGGTTATATCCTTTTCGACCTCCTTTCTGCCACGATCCGGAGTGATCGTTGTCCATCTGAATCATCATGGCCTCCACAATCTTGTCCCAGTCAAACTCATTGCCAGCCTGCCCCAAAATTGCCTTCTGCTGCTGAATTGAGGCACCACTGTTTCGAAGCAGGAAAAAGGCTTGAAGGTCAGTTGACAGCGTTGTATGACCTTGAGACAGAGATTGCAGTCTTTCATATTCATTCTCTCGCCTCTGAATGAAATCTGAAATTGGCTCTCCAGATCGGCGCTTGCCCTTCTCAAAAAAGAAGTCTTCAAAGGCCTGGTTCTTCAACAACGGTGCAACTCTTTCACAAGCTTTACGCACAGTTGATACAACCAGTTTCACGGCTTCTTGTGGGCCTTGTCCATCACCAGTTCCTTTTGACAGATCTAACAGCTTGGTTGCACTGATTTCAGGTTTTCTATGACAAAGTGTCCATGCCCTACCATGCAGCGCATTCTTGAGCTTGGCCGCATAGCCTGCCCGTTCAGCTGTTGTCAAGGTCTGGAAACCCAACATCACTCGCTCTTCATATTCCTCAGCCAGTTTGGGAGCACCATCATAGTGCACCACGCTATTCTTGTCCACATACAAGCTTTCCTCTTCAGCAGATCCATAGGCATTCGGTCTGGAAAATCCACCGCTGCTGCCCTTGTACGACATGCTCAAAAGTTGTAATTGCAATTGTTAAAGCCAGAAATGCCAAAAAAAATTGCAATTGCTGTAGCCAGAAAATTTCAAGCCCAAAACGAATTCCGGTTGCCTTTCGGCAGTGAGGAGAAAACCTCGACTCACCCTCCTCAAAGCTCCCTGAGACCAAACTCAACTGTCGGTTGTAGGTTGTAAGGTCAGAAATTGATCGAAGCTGCCAGGATAACAACAAGCTGTCGTCGCCACACCGAAATTCCAAAGAAGGCACCGGGGGCAATTAAGCCAGAAGATCCGTGGAGCTATGGCACCGCTCCGCTACCAATGCAAAGAACGTGGGCACGCAAATGCTGCCACTTTTGAACCACGCTCAAGGCCTCGGGTATCGAAACCTCGATGAAGTGCAAATGACATGCCCTTGCATGTCCATGCGGCAAAAGAAACTATGTTGTGACATGATTCCACCCAATGCCAGTTGCAATCTTCACAGTATGTATGTATGTCTGTGTGTGTATATGTATATGTATATGTATATGTATATGTATATGTATATGTATATGTATATGTATATGTATATGTATATGTATGTATGTGTGTGTACATGTATATGTATGTAAGTAAATGTATTTATGTATGTATGCATGTATGTATGTATGTATGTACACGTGTGTGTGTGTCTGTATGGTGTATGTATGCATGTATGCATGTATGCATGTATGCATGTATGCATGTATGCATGTATGCATGTATGCATGTATGCATGTATGCATGTATGCATGTATTCATGTATGCATGTATGCATGTATGCATGTATGCATGTATGCATGTATGCATGTATGCATGTATGCATGTATGCATGTATGCATGTATGCATGTTTGCATGTATGCATGTATGCATGTATGCATGTATGTATGCATGTATGTATGTATGTATGTATGTATGTATGTATGTATGTATGTATGTGTATATGTATGTATGTAGATGTTGTATGTATGTATGTATGTATGTATGTATGTATGTATGTATGTATGTATGTAATGTATGTCGATGTATGTAGATGTATGTAGATGTATGTAAATGTGTGTGAAATGTATTAAATGTATGTAATGTATGTAAATGTATGTACATGGATCTCAAAGTAGATGGCTCAACTCAAAAACCAAAATACCCATAAGATGGCACCGCGCGCTGAGAAAGAAAACGGCGCTATTTTAGCTGGAACATAAAACGAGTTCCGCCAATTGAAGAAAAAATCGCCCTACTTTAAAATGAGAAGGTAGATGGCGCAACTGCCACTCCAGTATATGGACATAAGGGTATTGTTAACTAAGTTTACTACATTTCCGATCATTTTTGCTTGTTTGTACTGTAGATTCCACATGTCTGTATTGTAAATATATGATATACATATATATATATAAATATATAAACAAATAAATAAATAAATAAATCACCTACATCTTTTATCCTAAAACTGAGTTGCGACATCTACGTCCCTTAAATCCCATTCAAATCTTCGAAAAAAATCATTGCCACACCTTGAAAATGAACCACTGAAGGTTTGAAAACAGATTGTGGGCAGAATTTATGGATAGAAATTTCATTTTTCAACATATTTTGACAAACATATATTGGAAAATCACTTTTAAAATTTCATTGCCATACCTTGAAAATGAGTTGCGCCATCTGTGTCTCTTAAATCCCATTCAAACGCCAGAAAATTCTTTTTCGATGGGTTCAAAAATGAGTTGCGCCATCTATGTCCCTTAAATCTCATTCAAACGCCAGAAAAAATCGGCGGGTTAAAAAATGAGTTGCGCCATCTATGTCCCTTAAATCGCATTCAAATCTTTCAAAATTTCATTGCAATACCTTGAAAATGAACCACTGAAGGTTTTAAAACTGATTGTGGACAGAATTTATGGATAGAAATCTCATTTTTCAACATATTTTGACAAAATAGTTTTAAAAAATGCAGCAAAAATTCCTTGCAATACCTTGAAAATCATCCACTGAATGTTCTAACATTGGTTGTGGGCAGAATTTTGGATAGAAATATGTTATTTAAAAATATCAAATTATTCAGCACATATGCACAATTTTAACATTTCAATATGAAACAAAAGCAGCTTTTCTGGTTTAGAAACTATAAAACTGACATTTTTCATTTTGCTCTTTCTTTTTGTTCCCCCCTTTCTTTCTCCCCTTTGCCTCCCCGTTGTGTCTCCCCGGGGCGGTGATCCCAATGCAAGCGAGCAGCGTTTTCACCGGGGTGGTTTATAGGCCCATCAGAGCTATCCCAAGACAGGAGGCAGTTGCGCCATCTATGTCCCAAAAAGGACAACTCTGATGTCTTTCCTGGTGGTTTTGCCTCCTGTCGTGGAATATCTCTGATGTCTTTCCTGGTGGTTTTGCCTTCTGTCTTGGGATAACTCTGATCGATGTGGCATATTTTGGTTAGCTAAGGTTGGTTGATGGATGTCGGGAGATATGAGGGAGTTGCGCCATCCATGTGGGCATTTGCAGCCTGATTTTGGCGAATGAGTGGGAGGTGCGCCATCTATGTCCCTAAAAATGACCTATTTTTTGCAATCTTCTACGCTCTGGCAATTTGCCACTTTGCTTGGCCCCGGAAAACGGGCCCCACCAAGTCCGAAAAAGAGCTTTTTCCTGAATTTCCCAAAGGAAACTTGACACTTGGTGGGGTCCGTTTTCCGGGGCGAACCCAAGTGGAAAATTGGCACTGCGCTGGTTTCCCCCCATTTTTTTCTCAACATCAAGCTGCCTTTTTGGGACATACATGGCGCAACTCCCACTCATACGCCAAAATCAGGCTGCAAATGCCCACATAGATGGCGCAACTCCCTCATATCTCCCGACATCCATCAACCAACCTAACCAAAATATGCCACATTGATCAGAGTTATCCCAAGACAGGAGGCAGTTGCGCCATCTATGTCCCAAAAAGGACAACTCTGATGTCTTTCCTGGTGGTTTTGCCTCCTGTCTTTTGATAACTCTGATGTCTTTCCTGGTGGTTTTGCCTCCTGTCTTGGGACAACTCTGATGTCTTTCCTGGTGGTTTTGCCTTCTGTCTTGGGATAACTCTGATCGATGTGGCATATTTTGGTTAGGTTGGTTGATGGATGTCGGGAGATATGAGGGAGTTGCGCCATCTATGTGGGCATTTGCAGCCTGATTTTGGCGAATGAGTGGGAGTTGCGCCATCTATGTCCCTAAAAATGACCTATTTTTTGCAATCTTCTACGCTCTGGCAATTTGCCACTTTGCTTGGCCCCGGAAAACGGGCCCCACCAAGTCCGAAAAAGAGCTTTTTCCTGAATTTCCCAAAGGAAACTTGACACTTGGTGGGGTCCGTTTTCCGGGGCGAACCCAAGTGGAAAATTGGCACTGCGCTGGTTTCCCCCCATTTTTTTCTCAACATCAAGCTGCCTTTTTGGACATACATGGCGCAACTCCCACTCATACGCCAAAATCAGGCTGCAAATGCCCACATAGATGGCGCAACTCCCTCATATCTCCCGACATCCATCAACCAACCTAGCCAAAATATGCCACATCAACCAACCTAGCCAATGTGTATACGTGTATATATAATTATATAATACACAGTGGATATGTCTGTGGTGTGTGTCATGTGGGGAATGTGATGAAATGTGTTTATAAGGCGCCCCCAGTATATTGGAAACTCAAAATTCGTTCAACATCGTCTGGATAGGGAGACAACATGTCAAAAAGAACATATTGAATTTACAAGCAAGAGCCCACGCCCTCCCAGTCTCTAATACACCTGTAGAACAACTAAAATGTGTCAGGTCCCACTTCCCTTTTTTCTAACCCTTCCAAACATGCAATTTTCATCAATGTTGCACATGTTCCGCAGACTTGTCAGCTTACCTTCACCATCCATCATGTTCTTTAGCTGCCCATTCTAAAAGTTCAATCCTATGGTCTTGACTGGTGAAAAGGGTATCCGTATACCATGGTATTACTAATTATGTCCTGACCCTTCGGGCCGCATGAATTGGTTTTAAGGCAGTGGTGATGTGGTTCACACGTTCATCCTGCTAGCTCACTGCAATATATCATATCATCATACGACATATCACTAAACAGCATTTTATATATGTTGTGGTTGGACACTTGCGAGCCTTTGAAACCCCGGGGAAACAAGGTGTGCTTGCTCTGCCACAACAATGCAAAATCTCCTGCGCTTGGCCGTCCATTTGCGCCTCGGCTCACAGCTTTTTGCTTACCATGTCTTGCCATAGACGAGTCAGAAAATGTCAGAAATCATTACGTATAATAATGAAGTAGCACTTTTGGTTTGACACGGTCTTGCTCTGGAGGCAGAATCACCAGAGCCTACAGACTTTTCCGAATTCTGTTGTCCGCTGCGAGAAGTTTCTTCAAGAAATCGCAAATATTTCTCGAAGCCACCAACACCATCCCCTGCCCGAACCAACAATGACAGCCTATGCGGGGAGCACAAGACTGATCTTCGTCTGCTGCAATCCTCTCTGAATTCACATCGTGTTCAACCCAACCCTGGATTGTATTATCAACTTTCACTTGTGGCCAAGCAGCAATAAATTTTCCCCCGCTTGGGCGGCATAGGCTCGTAGAGCTTGGGATTGCTCCTCAACCATGCAAAAACTCTGTTCGCATAATTCTGCTCAGAAACCCGGCCTGGCTTTTGCCGCCCCCAATGCTCATGATCATGAGTCACAGTTTCCAGGCAGCATCAAGTCAGGCACGGATAACGACAGAGGCAACACATCTGCAACACATGCGCATGCACGTGACCTGAGCCAACAACAACTAGCACAACCACAAACATTTGCCATCCCCACCACCGCCTCCCAGTGCAGCTGCAAGCAGTCAGCGCCCCCTCCCGGCCCTTTCACTGACCGTGATTTTTGTCTGTGACTTAAGGACTACTTAAGGATTCACTTCAACTCTGTGGAGAAATAGATCCCGCGCAGCTGTTTTTGCACTTGGCCGGCACTGTCCTGAGCTCTTCATGGAGCGCTTTCAGTTGTGCAGTGAAGCCCTCATTCGGGCACGCCTGTGGTGCACAAATCTGTCATCACTAGTCGCTACTACCGACAGAATAGGCATCACTGTCACTAGTAATTTAGTCTCATCAGCTGCTGCGTTGTCAAAACCCTCCGTCAAGGGTCTTGATCTCCATCCTGAATCCAACCATGATCACAGCTCTCTTCCCTGGTCAGAGAGGGTCTGACCATCAATTGGCCTCTTCGTGTCCAATCCTTCCTTCAGCCCCACGCCTGAGATCGAGCTTCCTTGCAAATTGCCATTGCCTCGTCGAAGGTCTTCCTCGCGGTGGGCAATGATGAGGCAGCCAAGGGGTGTGAGATTCACACTTCTTGTGGGTCCACACTCAAAAGCAAAGCTCATCAAAAAATACTGCGTGGACCGAAACAACAACCTGCAAGTCAAGAACTAACCCCGTTGCTGAAGCTATGTAATCATGACACAATCGCCACCAGCAAGACCAACCCTCTCTCAAACCAGCATCCTCAAACCAAGAAGCTTGGATGGTGATGGCTTACAGCATGATAGTGTTCTCTTGATCATTTTTGCCACAGGACGCCCGGCTCCGCTAATTATTTATTGCCACGCAAAAAGGCCAAAGCTTTCAACAGGGTGAAGCGTTGTCTGCCACTTTCAAAACGTGCAAAGTGCGACAACCAGTTGAGATGGCAACTTGCCTCAAATCAGAGTCAAGCCAGTGACCTTTGCACTTCACTTCGACTTGTCAGTTTCTGTACGTATACTTCCCCGCTTTTGCACGGATGCTGCTGAGAAAACTGACTCATCTTCCTCTCAACTCATTTAATCTCAGCTCTACTTGCTGCAAACCACCATCAGCACCTCCCTCGGCACAATATTGTGTTTGTTAAGCAGCACAAATCCAAGGATCAAACAGGTAAGAATGGAGAATGCTTGGGCCATGCTTCGTTTGAAATGCGCTGGAAAGAAAACAAGCAAAACCGCGTCAGCAGGCAATGCCTAGGCTGCCTGCAGGCAACTCGACAGTGCCTGGCAAATGCAGTCAGGTCAGCAGAAACATGTTCGTTGTGCATTGTACCACAGTACGATTTTAAGATTCGAGAAACTAGCCGCGCATCGAAATTCGGATGCGATGGTGACAGCTGTGAAAAATGGACGTCACAGGCGGGCTTCAGCGCAATTAAATCCTTTGAGAAGATGATCGAAACATGTAGGACCAAAGAAACGCAGAAACAAAACCTTTGCACTCACCTGGAAGTGCTCCAATGCTGAGAAGCCAACTTCAATATAGCAAGGAGTGCTTGAGCGGCTTTGACAGCTACTATACTATTGGTGGCTGCAAATGATTCGCCGATTAATGGCCATTCTACCTCCCACAGCATCCCACAAAATGAATCAGCACTTCTCCGCACCTGGCCACTTCCAAGTGTCTCGGCTAACGTGTTGTTCCGGATGGTGGCTTTGAAAGGCCCCAGCTTCAGCGGACTGCGCGAGCGGTGCAATTGAAACATTGTGTCATATTCATTGTCATAGGAAAATTGGATGCCAGGGCGAAGGTGAACACAGACACAGGTCATCCCCAAGTTACTATACTGTGCCTAAGTTGCGCGAAAGCATGATAACATGAGACGTGACAGTTTTGAAACATATTGAAACAGCAAGATTGCCTGGGGAAATTGGCAATACCAGAATTGCTTGGGAAGTGCCAGGATGCTAAAATAGCAGAACAAAAAACTTCCTAGCAAACGAAACCAAAGGTTCCAGTTTTTGCCTTGCGGGGTCCACTGAAAATTCAAGCAGGCAAATCGGTTAGTCTTAGGACCTTCATAAAACCTGTGCGAATCCCGTCATTGAAAATCAGCCAGTTTCGAGTATAGATACCAGGCTGTTTTCACAGCACCTCATATTCATGAACGTCAAATAGCTCTGTGTTTGCTATCGCCATGAACTCAGGTGACAAACAGAACTCATAGTTCGGGCACTCTCTCTCTCTCTCTCTTTCTCTCTCTTTTGCTCACGCATACACATGCACTCTCTCTTTTTCAGGGCCTCTAAATACGATGTACCACACAAGTTTGCAGTGCCATTTTGTCATTTAAACAATTTCTCTAAGGTGCAAAAGCAGCACCAATTTAAACGATATTTTCAGCCAAGGGCAAATGAAAAGGAAACACGGCATCATGAATGATTTGCGCGCTCGCTGTAGTGAATAACAACAGCGAAATCACATACAAATGACAAAGGAGCGGCAAACCAATTTATTCAAAAGATGTTTCTACATCATTAAGAAATTGTGTGTCAAAAGCACTATCATGTTGTCAAAATCCACACTGAGGTGATTTAAGAACGAGGGATTTTCCTTTGGTTCTAAGATATGATAATTATTGATGATTCATTCAGGTAGCAATAGCTGACATATTTACTGATATAAAGCGCATGGAATAAAAAAAAAAACAACGCAACAGAACCTGAGAAGGGGGGAACGAAAGCCAGCATCCCATCTATCCCTATGTTCCCAAATACTTTTCACCCAGAGACTCTTCACCCAGAAACTCTTAAGAAACTCTTCTTGCACATATTTACACCCATATACTTTTCACCCAGAGACTCTTCACCCAGAAACTCTTCTTACAAATACTTTTCACCCACATATTTTCACCCATAGACTCTTCACCAAGAAACTCTTCTTGCACATACTTTTCACCCATATACGTTTCACCCAGAGACTCTTCACCCAGAAACCCTTCTTGCACATACTTTTCACCCAGAAACTCTTCACCCAGAAACTCTTCTTGCACATACTTTTCACCCAGAAACTCTTCTTTCACATACTTATCACCAATATACTTTTCACCCAGAGACTCTTCACCCAGAAACTCTTCTTACAAATACTTGTCACCCACATATTTTCACCCGCAGACTCTTCACCCAGACACTCTTCTTGCACATACTTTTCACCCATATACTTTTCACCCATAGACTCTTCACCCAGAAACTCTTCTTGCACATACTGTTCACTCATATACTTTTCACCCAGACTCTTCACCCAGAAACTCTTCTTGCACATACTTTTCACCCAGAAACTCTTCTTTCACATACTTTTCACACCCACATACTTTTCACCCAGAGACTCTTCACACAGAAACTTTTCTTGCATATATTTTTCACCCAGAGACCCTTTACCCAGTCCGTTGATCATTGCACTCCATTACCCCTGTTTCGACCATAGGCACTTTATTGCCCAAAAGGAAAAATCAAGGTGTGGCGCGACAAGGGTTATGAGCCCAAAGCTAACCTGCTGAGGGCCTAGGTTTTTTCCATGGAACGGTCCCATTCGTTGCCTTCAAGGGGACATAGCGATGTGGCTTGGGACGGCATGGGAAACCCTTGGTACTCCGACAAAGCTCGAACAGAATGTCTTCTAGCAGCAAACAGACCCATGGATCTGCCTACTGACACTGGGGATGATGGAAAGCCTATTCAAAATAGTACTTCTGGGATGGGGTCGCAACCTTCAATGCAGTTTGGTGTTACTGGGAAGGGCCGTGGCAGCAGTATGGCGGGTGTGCCGGATGTTGAACCACGAAAGCCTACAGTGCAGCAACAGCTGAAATCTGAGGGTGTGATGCCTGGTGAGCCGGGAGAAAAAACTATGGGCTCCGTTGGAAACCCCAAAGATGATGGTGTCAAGTCAGGGGACAGTCTGCAAAGGGCGTTAGAAGGTGAGATAGTGGATCTGTTAAGGCAACAGAATTCGGTGCTGCTTGAGGAAGTGGCGAATCTCAGGCGTTTGCTTGAAAAGTCAGCTGCAAAAGCTGATTCAGGGGTTAGTTCTTCTCCTTGGTCTCAGCTTGGTGACACTGCATCTGGTCATTCCAATGGTACTGCAGGGAGGACCCAAAATGATCGCCAGGGACGGTCTGGGAGTAGAACCCCTAGAGCACGAGTACGGGAGATGGCACTCAGTCCTGAGAAAGGTGGGAGGAAGGATCCATCCAAATACACGCCAAATGGTACCCGTGTTCCTGATGGTCCCCCTCCGGAAAATCATGAAGATCCACCAGTTCCACCTCTGCCTTTTTTGGAAGATGCAAAGCATGTAGGGCATGATCAACTTCAACAATTCAGTTTTGTCAGTGGGATTCAAGATGATGCTTTGGAGTTGTATGACACTTGTGAGTCCAAGCCCAAAGCCAAGAATGGGGACACCAAATGGCAGCCGGTGGATGAAAGGGATGAAATTCTCTCTGCACGGGAGGCCAAACAAATGTGGTTAGAACGTGAGGTGAGATCACTCAAGGTTGCCTTAGACCGTGTAGCAGTTCCACCTGTTGTGCAACAGTCTTCATACTGGAATCCCAATAGTGATGGTAAGTTGCAATCCAGTCTTCCGGGTCCTGCCACTGCCGTTGCTCGTCCGGGCAACTTTCAGCATGATCCTTGGGCGCTGGGCGGAAGTGGAGCACATGCACTTCAAGCTCGGGCTGCACTGGGCGGATGTGGTGAACCAGCGCAACAAGGGTGAAGGCCGAGGTCAATTGCTCGGCGGCAGTGGAGAAGGAGCACAACAAGATCGGGCTAGCGCTTTGAGCATTGGAGGTCCCGTATGTCCAGGTCAATCGCTTGGCGGAAGTGGTGATCCTCGTCTACAAGCTCGGGCTTGCGCAGTTAGCACAGAGCATCGAAAAGAATGTCATGGACCTGAAGTACCTCATCACGATCGGGCCTTTGCAACAACTGATGGAGTTTATGGCGAAGATCGGGCTGGCTTTTTGCAGCGTGAGTCATGGGGTCTACATGATAAAGGTCCTGGCAGCTTCAACGACCATCCTCGGCATGGTTTGGGGGGTGGTGGAGTCGGAGTAGGACAGGATCGAGTCTACGGTCCTTGGACAGAAGGTGGCTCAATGAGCAAACTGGAGCTGCCTGACTTGCCGGAGTCATCAAGTCCTTTGCAGTTTGGGGACTGGCTTCACCTTTCAACGCCAGTCATGAAGGATCTGTCAGGTGTCGCTGATTGGTGGTGGGAGTCAACACTACGTGAGGCCAAGTGCTACTACGAGCAGTGGAAGCAAAGCACACCTTTGCAGCGCATACAGATCAACCCTAGACTGCCGGAAGATCTCTGTGAGCACAAGTTTCAGCGGACTGAGCAGCGGGGGATTCAGATGCTCTTGAAGGCAATCCCGCTGGCTGAGCAGCAAACGTTGGTCACTGATCGGGCATTGAGCTCAACTGCGATTTTGTACAAGTTGCTGGTGCGATTTCAACCAGGTGGTGCAGGTGAAAAGCAAATTTTACTTCAACAGCTCACCTCGATGCCAAAGCTGACAACGATTCAGGAGGTGGCTGGGGCATTGCGCAATTGGCGCAGGCACTATGGACGTGCTCAGGAAGTCCAGGCGGTTTTGCCTGATGGTGTGTTGTTGGTCAAAGCATTGGACACCCCACTTCAAAAGATAGCTGGACTTGATCAACAGGCTGCGTTCAGGTTGTCTCAGAGCAGGATGCAGTTGCAGCTTGATGAGAAGCCCGAGCATGCTAGCTTGTGGGCGTTCAGCCAGTGTTTGTTGGCGGAGGCGGAGACACTATGCCTGATGTCAACATCAACAGCTACGTCTCCTCAAACACCCTTGAAACTGAAACAGCTTCAAGGTGATGCAAAAACTTCTACAACTACCTCTCCAGCTGACACCAAGATGAAGCAGAATGCAACGGCTGACAAACCTTGCAAGTTCTTTGTGTCTGATGTTGGTTGCAGAGCAGGCAAAGCATGCAAGTGGTCTCACAGCTGGGAGGGCATCGAAGACAAAGCTAGTCGATGCTGGAATTGTGGAAGTAAAGAGCATCGGAAGGCCGACTGCACTGTGAAATCGGCCAGCAAAAAGACTGGTGAGCCGCGCGACGGCCCAGGGGGAGGACGTGGGTCAACTTCAAATGCGACCTCTTCCACAGTGCCGACCTCTTCAACATCTTCATCCTCGACCATGGGAGGAAAAGCTGGGGCAGCGGCAGTCAAGATGGCGAAAAACGCTGATGAATCCTCTGTTCAAGATGGTGGCACTGCTGCGGTGGCTCCGGAAGTGACAAGCTCAGCTACCAATGGGGCAAAAGATGGAGAGCGAAGTGGGGGGAGCGATGGAGGTGGTTCCAAAACAGCGGAGCTTCTGTATGAGGCGACACAGCTTCTGAAAACTCTCAGGGTCCCTCCAACAAATCCACGGTTGAAAGTGATGCAGCTGGCTGGGTGGGAGAATGTGGAGAATGATTTCATCTTGCTGGACAGCGGTGCAACACATGGTCTGAGACCTGCAGTGGATGATGATGAGTGGACGAAAGCTGAGCGTACAACAGTTCAGCTAGCGGATGGCAGCACTGATATGTTCCGCTTGAAGCATGGAACCAAGATCCTTCTGAGCGAACCTGGTCGCACAACTGCATGCATTGTCCCTATGGGAGGATTTGCTGATTTGGACTTCACTTTG